GTCTTTAGGCCTGTCTATACACAAAGCTGTCTACAAACATCATACATTTCATATAATCATTGCTATACAGAAACAATACTGGTCTGAATTTACATTGAACCACTGTTCTGCAATAAACAAATCCACATATGGTATTAAAAAATTAATTTCGGAGACACTTGAATTGCTTTATGAATTTTATTTTTATTGGTGAAATATGTGCAATAGCATAGCCACACAGCTTACCATACTTTACAGATGTTTCCTTTGCAATGTGGGATCACTGTTCTGTGAAAATATATCAAACAATATCCTCTGATATGACAGGTGAAAATAACTGCAGCAAATCCCTATTGTATAACAAGCTGTTAAACTATATCTTACTGACAGAGCAGATATTCTGTTCCTAGTATCATAGGCAGGTCAAAAACATAGTTTACTTCAATGCTATCAAACGCTGAAAGCAATAGAAGCAAAATGAATCCCAAATATAACTGTTTATGCAAGACACCAAAAAACAAATTAACCAATCACATTAGTGTGTCTTAAGAATCCAAACTGTTTTGTTAATTGCCTAATGTCAATCAAAAAAGGAGGTTAATAAATATGTAATTTGCATGTCTGTAGCTCTGCTGGAAATCTACAGAACTGTCATGCAAAGGATATTGTCTAGTTTTATAATAAAATATAAATGGTTTTTAATTCAGTTGCATGAATCTAAATTATTTTAATTATCCCATTGTATAAAATTTGGACAAATGTTCAGACAGATAAGATTCCCTTGTTTTGTTGTTCATATAAACACCTTTTGACACATACACAAAAAAAAAAAAAACAATTCTAAATAATAATCTGTTTTACCATAAATGAAGCATCTTTCTTGCAAACATGATTTGCAGTTGTATCAACTTTCCAAATTAAAAACAAAATAATAGTTCAGTCTTCCAATAAGTAAGATGGCTTGGAACTAATGTTATTCTATCCACCTAATCTTTTTCTACTTGAAATAATCAATACACGAATGAAATAGAAGTACTTTAACAAAATCACTTCCACAGCGTCACCGTTTTCACTTTCCAAATCCTAAGAAATATTTGTCAATATTTTGACTGAACTTAAAATTTCAAGAAAAAAAACAACAAATAATGATCCAACCACTCGTTCTGATCATTAGAATATAAAAACCAGGATCTAGGAAGTGTCCCCCTCCCCCTCCCCCTTCCAGATGCATAATTCATATTGTATTAATTGCTTTCTTGCTTTTTTGAAAAATTGAAGTGGTCACTATGAAAAGGACCTTTAAATTCTCTGTTTGGTTAGAAAGAGGTAAATAAAGAGCAGGATGGTGCTGAGGTGGCTTAATTTAGGGAAGGACAGCTCAGGAACTGGGAAACAAGCAAAAACAATAGTTCCCATCAACGGGAAATTGTCCACACCTTAAACTCTGCAAAGCTCCAACTGTCAGGCTTCAAGCCAGATGGAGCAATAAATCTCATCTCTCCACACATTCAATTTTAGATTCAAGAACTTGCTTATGGCAGAAGTTCACAAATGTGACACTAGATTGTAATCAATGAAAGCATGTACAGTATTTGCAGTACACAGAAATTTGCAGAACACAGAAATCAAAGTACATTATCTTGAACCCTTTGGGTAACCCCTTAATTTTTCCTGAGATGGCACTATTGCTATGATAGCCTACTAAACTTAAGACAGTGTTGATAGGTGAAGTGTATTACTCAATTCCATCTGTCTTCCAATCTGAAGCACTGCACATCACAATTCAAAGCTTCAAATTCTGAGCCTTTTCAAATTAAGAAAAATTTGGTAATTCTCTTCATAACTTTAGGAAACACCTGTTCAAAATTGGCATAGCATTTGTTTTGCCTCACAATAATACTTCCAACTCTTCCAGTATCATCCCTTACCCCAACAAATATTAAATAGTATTGAAATAGCATCAATTCTAGGTTTAGATGCACTTTAGAGAAGCAACTCAATTATTTTCAGCAATGAAAATTTCAGTCATGAAATGTCTTGAAGACACATAGATAACACGTCATTTTTTTCATATAACCATATACACCCATACTGTATGTCTCAAATGGAAATTGATGAAACAAGGAAGGGATTAGTTCTAAGTACCTTGTAACAACCCATCTCTATTTTACAATACTATTTTTGTCACTTGTCTTCCTTATTGTGGGTCATATTATTTGTCAAGGATAGAGTCCATTGCCACATAATGAGGCCTGAGGCTGAAACTCATCTGAAAGATAAGAAATATGATAAGGTCTTAAAAAAATAGGAGAAAGCAAAGTTAATAGGGATGGAGCTGACCACACCTCAGGGAGGAAAATATTCCATAAGGCGAGCTCTACAGCAGGGAAGGGACGTCTCCTCAGCCCACCAAATCTAATTCTCTAATAGATGGGACCTAAAACATGCCTCTTTTGCTGGATCTGATGGGATCTGATGTAATTGGCAAGAAGCAGTAAGTCAGAAAACCCAGTCGCAAGTCATGTAGGGTTTTAAAGCAGGGGTGAAATCTACTTACCTTCCTTACTGGTTCGGAAGCACATGCGCCGCACGCACAATCTCTTTGCCTGCACGCATGTCATGTGTGCGCACAGACCTTCTGCACATGCGCAAAACCTTCTGCACATGCACAGAAGGTAAAAAACATTATTTCCTGGTTAAAATCAGGAAGTAATGACACCTGGGCGGGTGGGCGGAGCTTTGCTCCACCATCACTACTGGATCGCCGAACCACTGGCCAAGTTCGCTACTGGACCAGGTGATCCGGTCCAATCTGGGAGCATTTCACCCGTTTTAAAGATCAAAAACAGCACCTTGAATTGGACCCAAAAACAAAGACCAGGAATGTAACATGTGTTGTTTGAGAAACATACATAACTGTCCCCATTGCTGCCTGTTGAAGTGTCCAGATGCTTTTTAAGAGCAGCCCGATATAGCATGAATTGCAGTAATCTAATAGTGAGGTGATGCGGGCATAAGTGAGCATGAATAAGAGCCTCTCAAACTAGGAATGGCGCACAACGCAAAGTTGTACCATAGCTCTCCTAGTCATGACTTCCATTTTCTTAGCCATGCTCTTCAAACAGGAGTTGTGAATCTAAGAGGACACCCAAATTGTGTATGGTGTTAGTGTGGAGCAGTGGCATAATCCTAGAACCAGTGGCCCTTCAAATCCAAAGGCACTCAGTCTTTCCAGGGGTCAGTTGAAACCTGTTGTTCCCCAGTGAAGCCCTCACAGCCTCCAGACACTGGGATAAAATGTCACTTAATTGCCCAGGGGCCGAGAAGTGAGCTGCCTGATATGGATGCACAATTCCCATCCTCCCCACACCAGACATCCAAAAGTATGACCAATGCTATCTCCATCCCATACCCAGGTTTGAACCCCGACTGAAAAGAATTTAAATAATCTGCTTTGTCCTAGGCCCTCTGAAGCTGCTACACAACCACTTTCTCAACCGCCTTCTCCCAAAAATGTGGAGGTGAGATACTGGATGAAAATTGTCTATATAGTGCAGTCCAGTGATGGCTTCTTGAGGAGAAAGCAAACCAAAGCCTCCTTAAGAGGTAAATGCCCTCTTACTCAAAGAATTGAGTAGTAGAACCAGTAGAACCCACTTGCATGACACAGAATGTGAGAGGTGTTTGTAAACAAATTGGTATATATTGCCATCTTTGATACCCAAGTAGTCATTCTTCATGGTCAAGACATGTTTAAAATAAAATAGGAAAATTATTCAAGAATCTCTGATAACTAATCTTATTTATGATTTACTATATCTCATAAAACATATAAACCAGTGCAAGAATTTATGTTATTAGATTTCAGATTGTTATTGTAAAATGAAAAACTAAACAACACATTTCTCCAGGAAGTGATATTTAAAAGTGTTAGAAATTGTTTTTGCTTAAGAGTTAATCAAGTGAAAGTCTCTCTTGCAACAAAATCAACTCCTGATAACTACATGGATCAGGATTTGCAGCTTTCTTAGCAATACAGAAATGTTTTTTCATTGTCATCTTTTGCAATTTTTACTTCCTGTCTAGTCTGCATCTCTTAGGATTTCTAAAGCATTCTAAAGCATTTGAAGCAGTTAAAAACAGGTGTATTCAGACTGGTCACCATTATTTAGCTATTTTAACTGTTTTTCATAAATAATTGTCTTTATTATTCAAGACAAAAATGGTGAATATGATTCTTTGTTTAATTTCCTTTCTTATGTTTTTATTTTCCTTCCCACTTTTTGCCTTTGGGTGGTGTTGTTGTTTTTTGGATGCAATAATTAAGGAAAATAAATTCACGGGACTTTGAAGTGTTGTTAAGATTACTTTGCCCTTGTTTTGTATTCTGATGTGAAATTTAAACCCATCAATATAATCTGCATAATCAACCTGTCTTGGCCACTCCTTCCGTCCCACTTTAAATTTTACATTATGTAGTGAGTTAGTCTGAGGAAATGAGATGTAGCTTTTAAATAAAATGTATTCGGTAAGAAAAGACTTTTAGCTACCATAGGTTTAATATTCTCCCAACAACTGCTCAAGTGCCGGAGTTCACATTCAGCTAAACAAAGAAAGTTCTATTACGGTTTAGCCACTGAACAGAGCCATTATACTTGTTCTCCAGATCACAAGGTGGCAACTCTATTCTCTTTGTTCCCTATTTAGATAATCACTAACCGACCACGATTTGCTGCCTCACCTAAATCCTGCAAACGAGGGAATTCCAATATTTGCAAATTAAAACCTGAGACCTTTAGGGCCTATGCAAAGGATCACATCCAGTTTAAAGAGAAGAAAACGTCCGAAGCGCTTAAGGAAGTTAAAAGCTTCATGCCTCAGGAATCAATTCGGGAGCGGAAGGGCAGTTACACCTGCCTGCAACCTTCAGGGGAGGAAACCAGACTCGTTTTTGCGAAAGGGCAATAATAATTTACCAAGAAGGGGGGGTGGGGGGAGGGGAGGACACCACATTCACAGCCTGAAAACCTGTTCTGTTACTTTGATGAAGAGCAAACGTTGCACGGAGCGGGTGGGAGACTCCGGAGAATCCAGACGAAGGAGGTCGAGCCCGGAGTCCAAATAACCCGGGCGGCGGGAGCGAGGAAAAAGGTCTGTCAACCCGGGAAAGGTCAGCAAAGGCGCCACTTTGCCAGCTAAAATCTGGCAGACGACTCACAGGCAAAGCCTTACGGGCAAACGGCAGAGACTTACGGGCAAACCAAGCGCAAAACCTGAGGAAAACGATTTGCATTTCCCAAAGCACCTTTGGAGGCGGCAAGCTCCCCGCCGATGAAAAGGGCAGCACGAAGTGTCCCGGCGGGGGGCGGTTAATTCTTTACACTTCGTGCAAAACGGACCAGAGGAGGGAAGAAGTGGGGGGGGGGGGGGGGGGAGAAGAGAGAAATTACACGTTGGCGGAAGAAGAGAGCACAGTCTTTACTCTGCAACCCCGAAGGAAAAGAAGTTTTCTCCTGCGGGCGCGGAAACCCTCCTCTTCCTCCTCCTCCTCGGCCACCTGGGCTCCGGCGTCGCTTTTCCTCCTCGGGCGAAGGGGGACTCGCGTCCGCCCCGAAAGCTGAGGCTACGGCCGAAGCTTGTGCGCGCTCCCGGGGAGGAGCCAGGCATTTGTGGCCCGAGGGCTGAAGCGCTCTCTCTCCGCTGCTGCCGGTTTGCCTGGGGCAGGACTGCGCTGGAGAACAGAGCCAAGAGACGGACGATGAAGAGAAGCGACCGGCGGAGTTTATTGTTGGGCGGCTGCCCCGAGTAGCCGGTAGTTTCCTGGGTCGCGCGGTGAGTTTTTTTTCTGAAGGAAGGAAGGAAGGTTGCCGAAAGGGAATCGGGACTTGGGTCAGCCGGCTCAGATAAATAATACCCGTTTCTTAGTGCATTTGAAACACGGCAGTCTTCGCCTGGCTTGACATTAGTAGGGAGTGTTGCATCTGTTTGATTCAAGAGATTAGGGCGCGATTCGGGAAAATGTGCCAGAAAAAAAGGGGTCTCCAACTAAGCAGGATTTTGTTTTCTTAATCTGGGGGAAAATGGATCTTCCTTTTTTTTTTTTTTTGCTTTAATTTATATGCCGCCCTTCTCCGGAGACTCAGGGCGGCTTACAATGTGTTAAGCAATAGCCTTCATACTTTTGTATATTTATACAAAGCCATCTTATTGCCCCCATAATCCAGGTCCTCATTTTACCTACCTTAGAAAGGATGGAAGGCTGAGTCAACCTTGAGCCTGGTGAGATTTGAACTTGCAGTAATTGCAAGCAGCAGATGTTAATAACAGTGCATTAGTCCACTGTGCTACCAAGGCTCGTTGGAACGCTTTCTTTGGAAGCGTTTGGAAAGCCAAGTTCATTTCTTGCTGATAACCTTAACACTTCAATTACTTTAGTGCTGTACCTCCATTATTCGTTTTTTGCTTGTTTTGTGCTGTCAACTGGGGGCTGTGTTGGCATCACATAGAGCCTCACACTAGCCAACAACACTTTTACTGGGGTGGGCAAACCCAGCCTGTTTGATTAACGTTTCCAGAATATATTACTTTCTCCTAAATGTGTCTACACTTTGTATTCTACACTTCTTTGTACAAAACCTTTGACTAATATTTTAAAAGCAATGGAATGCTAACAAATCCCATCTTTGCTACAGTAAAACTAGCAGCTACTCACCGTAATTTTCTGGTATTACCCTGCTCTGCCGCTTTAAATGCTAACCCTACCGTGATTGAATTTTACCAACAGTGCTTAGATGACTCCTGACTTAACATCTTCATTTATTTTAATTGGGCAAGAGGCCTTAGATTATAGTCTTGTATATTTGGAGCTAATCAATTAAAACATTTAATTATAGATTTTCCCCCAGTCTGGGTGATAAGAAATGCTAATTATTTTTGAACAGCAAATAACTTATACCCAAATCTCATGGTTATTTTACATTTCAGAATGAGCTGTTACAGGGTAACCAAAATCTAGACCTCAGCTAGATTGCAGCACAAAGGTAGGGTTGTTCATTGTTGACATTAACTGGTCGTCCAGATTTTTCCAGTTCAGATGTAACTAACCCTTTTCAATCTTAAAATGTGCTGAAAAGAGGAGAATTAAAAAAAGATTTAAGATACATCATAATTAACTTTAAAAGGTATGTTTCGCTTCTAATGGCTATATGTATGCAATATGGTAGACCATTAAGAGTTCTGTACAAATCACCAAAATGATGTTCACAAAACACAAATAAACAAACTTTGTTGCTTAATATCATTTGAATAAACCTATATAGCAGTGAGTGGGAATGTAGTCTATCATATAGATAAGGGCTTTCTTCAAGATCATCAAAAAATATCTTTTTGCAGAGGTTTGACAAAAGTGTACATATTTCAGTGTAAATGCAGATATACCTTGCTTTCCCGAAAATAACCCAACCAGAAAATAAGCCCAAGTATGATTTTTCAGGATGCTTGTAATATAAGCCCTACCCCCCAAAATAAGCCCCAGTTAAGATCATCAGTCCTCAGGAGAAGCATGGCCAGCACAGGAGGTGGCGAGCGTGCAGGGGCCAACAGTGTCTTTGGCCAGTGCACTCTGGGGCTGTGCAGCCTGTACAGCACAGGTGAGTCTGTGTGCTGCGACCACCAGGGTGGCCCTCCAAGCAGCCGGTATAGGCAGAGATGGGGAGGCATGCGATCAGGTCCCTGGATTTGCCACACAGCCACCTGCCCCATTGCAGTTGTGGGCAAGCAAAGACAGATGGTGGGATGGAGTGGGTGGGTGGTCGTGCCATGCATCTGGTGGGCTGGATCATATGCCTCCCCGCGCCTCTGCCTCTGCCTCCACCTGCTGCTTGGAGGGCCGGATCAGCAGTCGCAGCACTCAGACTCATCTGCGCTGCACGGGCTTGCAGCCCCAGAGTGCGCCGGCCAAGGGGCCAGCGGACTGTGGCTGCTGCAAGATTCTGTTGGTCCCGCACTCTTGCCGCCTCTTGTGCACATAACCAGGGGGTAGGGCGTCTGGCCGGACTGGGCTGGGGCTGGGGCAAGGGGCAGTCCCTCGCCATCACCCTGATAATGCGTTTCCCAAAAAAAAGCCCTAATGCATCTTTATATGCATTATATATTATGAAAATATGCATTATGCATTATATATATTTGAGTCTTGTTTGCGGGGAAACACAGTATCAACAAATTAAATATTTAAATCAGTGGTCAATCCTACTAAGTAGATTGTTTTTCTATGAAGCTCAATTTTGCATGCGTAATGGATTTTAAAGAAAAAGAGTCATGCAGACCTGGCAGATCAGTGTTCATATTCTGTCCTAGTCAGTGAAGCTTAGGCAGATATTGAAAGGATGGTATGGCTCATAAACACTCTATTCTATCTACTCTATTGATGTAGAGTAGAGTTGGCTCAAGGCTTCTTATCCATAAGAGAATATTAGTTTCTATTGCTTTTATCCCATTACTAATATTTGTTCAGAATTTATAAACTATGGATAGCCTGTGCCTGTGAATTGTTTTATAATTACTTTATTACATTTACTTTTAAGGTGATTACAAATATTGTATAGTTGAAACTCTTGAATTAGAGATATGAATTCAATTAAATGCTTCCTTAATAGTTTTTGAAGTTCATTGCAGTTAAAAGTCAAAATTGTATTTCTTCCTTGCTATGTGTTATAGCAAGGAATTATAGGTCGTCTATGTGCATTTTTTAAAAATAGGTGAATTTTTTTCCTTCTCCTTGAATAGCTATACATGGGAGTGCCCTGTAACTACTAAAAATAAATAAAATAAAAAAATAACCTCAAACCCATTTGCTTTAAAGTTTTTTCCTTACCTGCCTACACCACTTTTTATCTAAATTCTAGATAAAGATTTGTACTATCAGGACATTCTGTTCTGATGCATAGCTTTGATCACCCAGCTGGCTGGCTGTGCTTATAGTATCTAGCCATGTCACATAGCTGTCTAAAAATAAACACGTATGATACAATTAGTTTTTAAAACTTAGGTTCAAAGGAAGTCTTGGCAAACCCTCATTTGGGTGCATTTTTTCTACTTAAAATCCTAGCTATGTTGTGTCTAGGAGAAGAAGTCCTAGAGTTGTCATTCAGTTTACTTTTTAAGGTAAAGAGTAGAATCAGCTTTAGGGGTATTTGAAGGGACCACAATAATAGCATTGATTCAATTACTACTGTTGCATAAATAAATAGAAGTAGGTGGGGGTTTTTTGCAATATTATTCTCATATGAATTATTTTATTTTATATTTTAATTAATGCATTTATTTTATTGGATATTTGTGATTTCCATATATTGTATTGTACTGTAAACTATTCTCGGAAAATTTGATTTTGAAAAGTGGCTTACAAAATATATAAATAAATAAATATTTCTCCCTTCCCTTTCCACAGCCCCTTATTTTATTTTATTTTTTCATTGGAAATTGTTCAATGGTTAAAACTGTAAATATTCTTACAAGGATGGGTGAAGCTATCAGTTTAAACTAAGTTTGCTTTTTTGCAATTCCAACTTGAAATCCAGACAGAGGTTAAATCTGAATATTATTTGAATTCTTTACTTTTTAATGAAACACACTAGGCTAACTTTTGTTTATTAGAAATGTGTATTTTTTGGAAGTAAACTCCAATGCGTGCAAATAATTTACAGTATTACAAACATGCCTTATGGCTGAAAGTACAGTAAATAAATAAAATGTGCCCCACAGACTGTGTTTAATTCTATTTAGATTCCACAGTGCATTGTCTCATTTCTGCCATATTGTCTACTATTGGTTTTGTTCCAGTATGCTACTTGTATTTTCTCAGAATTTATTTATTAAGAGACTATTTTGCTCCTGAGCGTATGGATGTAGACAATGTGTTTGTTACTTTTAAAATTTTGATTATATTTATGCACCGCACTATAAGAAAAATATAATCATGTTCTTCCCATTCTCACAGGGTGAGACCAGTTCTTTGCCTTCGAAGTATGAACTATTAGCAACTTAAATGGTGATTCTTTCATCTGCCTTATATTCCTCACCCACACTTTCAAGTGAGTCGTCATTTGACCCTATTCTCTTCATCCTTAACCTACACTGCTTTAAAAATTTAAAAGTTGCAAAACTGCTTCTGGGTTGATGGTGGGTTTGTAATGTTAGAAATCTTAGCCAATTGCTGTCATAACAGATGCTTTCTGCCATCAAGTGGCAGAACCAATTTCTCTTAAGATTGATCTTAGTCAGGAAAGGATGTGCAGTGTACAGGTAGTCCTCAACTTTCAACAGTTCATTTAGTGACAGTTCAAAGTTACAACAGCACTGACAAAAGTGACTTATGATCATTTTTCACACTTGTGACCGTTGCACATGGTCATGTGATCAAAATTCAGATGCAAGTGACTCATATTTATGACAGCTGTAGTGTCCTGGGGTCATGTAATAAAGTTTTGTGAACTCCTGACAAGTAAAGTCAATAGGGAAACCAGATTCACTTAACAACTGTGTTACTAACTTAACAACTACAGTGATTCACTTAACAACTGTGGCAAGAAAGGTCATAAAAAGAGACAAAACTCACTTAACAAATAGCAAATAACTAACATTAATTTCACACATGAGGATATGCAAAACATTTCAAATTCAAATTGTTTGGAGATTTAAATGCTTAATTCGAATGCAAAACTGTTGCATTTCATGGTGTTGTATAGATGAAATAGGTTATCTTATAATCATGGAAGTGTCTTAAGGATGAAACGATGCATCCCTAATGCAAGTTATCAACTTCAAATACTTCCAAAATGATCAAAACTGTTTTGCAGTTAAAACAGGACATAAAAGTAGTTAAAATCCAAGATGTTATGAGTTGAAAATATTTTGAATGCCCTACAGTGATAGTTTAACTAAAAAATGCTATCATAGAATAAAAAATAGTCTTTTTTTTCCCTTCTGTTTAATTGTGTCTGATTCTTGAAGACTCCCTGGACAAGTCCCACAATTTCCTTGGGAAAAAAATTTCAGAAGAGATTTGTCATTGCTTCCTTTCTAGGGCTAGTTCTAGGAGAAAGTAACTGTCCAAAGCTGGCTTTGTGCCTAATGTGGAACTAGAACTCACAATCTCTTGGTTTCTAGCCTGATGTCTTAACCACTTCACCAAACTAGCTCTCATAAGCATCACAGTTTGCAAATAAATATTGCAAACTTCTATAACAAAATACTAGAATTTAAAATTATACTTCAAGAAATGGAAAATATTTTTTTCTGAGATTGCATTACTATATATATGGTGCATAAATTACTTAACATTTTTTGAATAATTAATCTTCCCCTGTAAACCATCCGTTTATTAGAAAGGTAGAGACTGAGTGTGTCTGCAAATTATTTATTTATTTATTTATTTTATAGATTGCCTCACTGCAGAAAAATCTGTGGGGCTGGCACCGGAATCATTTTTGCTCCTGCATTGCATAGCATTAGATAAATTGCTGTTCTATACTACAACAGAATACAGATAGTCCTTGACTTATGTCCATTTGTTTAATGACAGTTCCAAGTTATGATGGCCTTGGAAAAAGTGTCGTACAACCTCTCCTTGACATTACAACTGTTCCATGACCCATGGTCACATGATTGCCATTTGGATGTTTACATCGAAGGCCTGGAGACTAAAACATATGAAAAATGGCTGCAGGATTTGGGTTTGGCTGGTCTAAAGAAAAGAAGAATTAGGAATGACATCATAGCAGTGTTCCAGTATTTGAGGAGCTGCCACAAAGAAGAGGGGGGTCAAATTATTCTCCAAAGCCAGAGGGCAGGACAAGAAACAATGATTGGAAACTAATCAAAGAGAGAAGCATCCTAGAATTAGGGAGAATCTTCCTAACAGTGAGGACAATTAACCAGTGGAACAGCTTCCCTCCAGAAATTGTGGGCGCGCCATCATTGGATGTTCTTAAGAACAGTCTAGATAGTCACTTATCTAAAATGGTATAGGTTCTTCTGCTTGAGCTGGGGGCTGGACTAGAAGACTGCCAAAGTCCCTTCCAGCTAATTCTATTCTATTTATGACAATAACAGCATTTTGTGGTCATGTAATTGTGATTTGTTAGCCAGTTTCCATCAAGCAAAGTTAATTGGGGAAGCCAGAATTGCTTAATGGCCAGGTGTTATGTTTAACAACCATCTTAATGACCATAGTAAAAATGGTCATAGTCAGGTCTGCTCATGTGATGGCTCACTTGACATCCCTTAATGACTAAAATTCTGGTCCCAATTGTGGTTATAAATCAATACACAGGAATACCTGTGTGTTTTACGAGTAGGCTTAAATATAGTTTACTGAATAATTAAGGTTGACATTATTCATATAAGACATTAAACTATAAAACTGTATTAAAGGATCATAACAATTGAGTTTGCATAGTATAATGAGCTAAAGTTAGCATGTAAGAAAATATATGCAAGATACAAAGTTTCATTGGAACTTTGCAAATCAACCCAAGAGAATAATAGTACAATATTAATACTTTGAAAAGTAATTGGATTGTATTCAGTATAAATTTAAGTTTCTTAATCTTGAGACAGTCAACTGTGCCAGTACTCTTCTGCACACAAAGGAAAGGACCAAAAACTATGATTTTTTTTAAATAAGAAAAATAATTTGTGATATTTTGTTTTTAGTTTCAGATATGAATTACAGCCAGAATTCTGTCATCGAAGATTCTTTATTCATTACTGATTAGGAATCTACAAATTTATTTATTTGCTCATGATGAATTGAGCTCCATTTCTCCTCCCTCAGTGAGGGATAGGAATAGTTTCTGATCTTTTCCAGTGTTTATAGCTGCCTTTAGTTTATGCAGAGCCTTGTCTAATAAAGCCCTGATTCTGAGCAATTAGTTTTATGATCTTGCATTAATTCTTACAATCTTAAATTTTCTCAATATTTTTTTATGAAAACTGTTGCCAGATGCCTTTTTTTTTCGTTTGGCTCCTCCTTTGGGGTCTTAATTTGCATGAAACTATGCTGCATCTGCATATATTTTAATTTGCATTCACGAAGCTTGAGTTCATTCAGTTTTTGTTGACCTCTTAGTTAAATGTCAATTCATTTAGATCTACACTATGACATAAAGAGTCATGTCAAAATATGATTAATGAGTCAGCAAATGGAAATAAGAATATCATCAACTGCCTACAACTGAAGAAAAATAATATTTACAGAAGTTGTGGTGTTAGCAGTAACTGTAGAGCTGTTTTTTGTTCTTAGAAAAGACCATTTTAAGAAATAGGAAAAGAAAGGGATATAGTATGAAAACACATAATTATGCAATAAGTGACCAAAAGAGGAAATTATCCAGTTAAAAGCAATTAGTGGTTTCCGTGATTAACAAAGGGATAACATTGTGAGTTTTAATCTGGGCCAATCATAGAACTGGGTATCTTCATACATGTTTATGTAATGTGTAATAAAAGATTGTCATTGCTCAGGTGATTTCCATAGCAATTTGAGTTATCAGTCATTTATTATATTTACTGTATATGTTGTTGCTTGGTTTTCTTGTATTTCTTTTTCTTTCATATGTTGTGCAGCAGTTCCAGATGGATCATAGCTTCCCTTTGTGTTTTACTGTTGGTGTGTAGCGTTTGGAGAGACCAAAAATAATGCAGGATAACTTAAGAGATAAAAATGATGCACCGAAGTATTTTTCTGTTGGAGAAGAGACGAAGTCCATAACCCAAAGTCAACAGCTCTGGATATTTGTTGGCTTCTACCTTGCTTTGATTCAGCTGAAGCAAGATATGATTGAATGGATTTTCTAGGGGAAGAAAACCCAAGAAGCTTCAGCGGTTTTACTTATAATTCAAGAGAATGTGAAATTAAATTGAGCAGGGTAAGCAGTGTTTATGCTGCTCCATGCCAACTGAAAGGAATTCTAAGGTAGTGTTGCATTGAGGTTGGATAATGCAGAGATAATGGCAAGTTGAACCACATAGTAAAGAGTAACTTTTAGTATTGCATTTGTGGTAGATGTGAACCAATATGCTTAAAAGAGGTGAAAGTGTAAACAAAATCTGCCATTTAAGAAGCATGGCATTTGAAAATGAGACTGCAGAAAAACACTCATAGCTATAGGTAGGAGTGCTATTGTGATGAAATGCAGTTCTAATAAGTGAACAGGAGAAAGAAGACTCAATGTCCCAAATAATAAAGATTCCAGAAAGAACAAAAGTAGGAATTAGCTGGGTAGTGAGGAAAAGCAAGTTAGGAAAACAAGCATGTAAGTACTCTATATATGATTAGTCATTCCTTAAAAGGAACAATTAATCAAAAATAGAGTACTTATATTAATTAATTACATTACATTACATATACTTAATTACATTATGTATAAGCCAAAACTGATATCTGCTTGTTGTGTATATTCTGCCTTTAGCTGCCACTAAAATAAATATAAATAATGTCATAGATAATTGAGAAATAATGTTGATTTTTACAAGTCATAATTAAAAGCAGTCAAAATTATTAGGTTTCTGAAATAGTTCTTTTTAAAAATCAACTATATTACAGTATTGGAGCTTTTAAATGTAGAGAGATAATGGAATAAAAGAGGAATAATATTGTTAGAGGTCTCTGAAATTATGCATAGGTGGGGAAAATAGACATTGCACAGTTTTCTTCATAATACTAGAACAAAGATTCATTCAATGGTACTGATTATTACTGAAATTCAGAACTGACAAAATGATGTATTAGTTTAGATATGATACCTGGAGTTTAAGGGATGTGCTACCACAGATATGGTATTGGTCAGCTGTGTGGACTATCAAATAATCTATTTGGGATTATGATTGCTTGGGGAGAGATTGGATTTGAAACCCATACTCCCTACCATTACTCTGTCATGCAGCCTAGCAGTTATTAATGATGTTGGGGCACCTGTGAATTAAAATTCAGACATCTTTAAATAGTTTTTATTTTAATCATGATTATTAATCATGACATTTTAAAATAGTTTTTATTTTAATCATAACTATTAGTTATTAGGGAAACACCATATATATACCGTATACTTTGCTGGGGATTCTATTTACATTCTTAGTTATATAGGATTATATATATTATAACTAAGAGGATTCTTAGTTATATAGACTGCATGTAGTCTAATCATTTTTATGATTTGCTAAAAGTCATTTTCTTCCAGTAGGAATGTAGGAAATTCAGAAGTTACCTGGCAATGGTCATGAGCAAGAAAGTTACATATTAAACTAAGAGCCTTCATCTCTTCAGTTCTATGTCCTTTTCCCCTCATGCATAGGCATTCATAATGGGTGTTTTATTCAAATTATGAAGTAAGAAGATAGTAAAGTTACTGTGCAAGAACTTTATCTACCACCATCTCCACATATCTATTGAATCTGCATTTCCAGTGCTCTAATTTTATTTGTGACATTAGTTTTCATAGTTCATAGTGTATTTGTTCTGGGATCAGTTAGTAAATTCTCTATAAAGAATGCTAAATGTTGGGCAGGCATGATTTAAGTTTTTCTGAAAAGTTACTTTTTTGAATTAGGGATTTTAAATGCTTGAGAAGGCTACAGAGCAAATATAAACTGTCACCTATTGTGACCATCTCAACCATACAATTATGATAAATGGTGCATTGTCTGAAATTTGCAAGTGAAATTAAACTGATGTCTGTCCAAAAATGAATTGAAAAATATAATTTTTTAAAAGAACCCAAAATTCAGGTACACGTTTAGAGGCTAATAGGTAATTAAAAGCCATTTCCTTCCAGTAGGCTTGCTGCTTTTTGTTTTTGCTGATGACTTTTCCATTTCCAAAGGAAATTAGTGGTAGGGTAGAAATTTGCACCATGCAGACTTACTACATACCATTTTTAATGTTATTAAGACATGACCAGACTAGGCACATGGTCATTCAAAGAATGAATGATATAGATCATCAGGCTGAGGTACAAAGGTTGTCCCAGAATAATAGAATTTTGGGTTACTAAGATTGTATTGGAATCAGAACAATATTTACCCAGGAATGTATAAATAGTTTGTTGGTCTCCATAAAATTTTAGCAACCTATATCATATCTGTCTGTCTATCCATTCCTCCCTCCTTCCCAGGGTGAGAAAACCACTTTTTAAAACTAGCATCTTTATTTATGCATTGTTGCAAGGCAAGTACACTAAAATTCCATTGACAGAGCACCTGCCCATGTTGTGCTAAGAAACAATGAGCCACATGTTGCAAATTTTACAAGGTTGTTTAGATCCATTTTATTTTACCCCAATTTGCAGTATAAACCTGTTGAAGACAATCAGGCCTTTTGGAAGATTTGAAATCTTTCATCATTCACCCAGTAGCTAGATTCTGGGCAGGGGTGAGTTCTACTTAGCTTTACTACCGGTTCGCAACAGGGCCGCATGCGCAGAAGCATTCTGATGACGTCGGGGTCGGTGGGCGGAGCCTCCCACTGGTTTTACTACCGGTTCTATAGAACCAGTGCGAACCAGGGGCAACCCACCACTGGTTCTGGGTTGCCGCAATGGAAATAAGGTAAAGGCTGGGACAAAGATAATGATTTTTTTTTTCAGTTTCATTGAACTCTAATAATATAGGGGTTTTTTTTGTTTGTTTGTTGAAATGTTATAATAATAGAGTTATTTTGTTGAAATAATTCCTTAGGAATTATTTTGCAATGCTTTAGTTCTGTTGTGATCAAGATTATAACATAACTTTAATGCTAAAAATATTAAGTTTTTGAGATTTGTGCTGGTCATTATGTAAATAAAGACGATTTAACTCTCATACTAAAATATTACCACCATGTACCACCATAAACAATAGAAGATAAATAAGATATGGAAGCAGAGATAAATAATAATTAAATGTACCCATTGCTTGGGTTTGAATGGCTGATATATTTCTATTACCTTATGTTCTGTGTACAATATTGTGGTCTACCATTTTTAATGCCCAATTTAATGTGTGATTCACTACAGTATTTACAGAACATGATCTATTTCAGAGGGGTTTTTTATGAGTACCAAGTTTATTTCCTTCTAGAAGCACAATTTATTTGAAGATATTTCCTTATTGGAGAGAAAATAACAAAGCAGAGGTTTTCACTCTGAGTCTTGTGCTCACTCAAGAGCAAAATGTTGAAGATGCCGTGTATCAAGCTACTTCTGAAACTTCATTTGTATAAATTAACTATTGTATCCTCATTGCTTTGAATTAGACAAGGAATAACTGGTTAAACATTTTAGCATTCACAGAATATGCACATAATCTAATCAAGAGTCAGGCTGTATTTCCACTTTATTTTTATTTACTTTTTAACCATGCCTGCTGATCCTGTTCTGTAACTGAAATAGGAATGCTGTAGTACCATGTGGTAACTTCACTTATAAACTGCTGTGTACTCTGCTGACTGGCACTCCATTTGCAGTGCAGATAGTTGGGAACCCATACAGTTGAAGACAGCCTGCATATAAGAAAGCTTTGTATGGTGGTTTTACATTAATCTCAGGGAAGAGGCCCCCAAACGCTTGGGCAGTAGGGACTGGGGCGTGGTTTCACATGGGTAGTTACGGGTAGTTACGGGAGCTGCATAGCGCTCCCATACAACACCTCTCCTGTGTGAGCTGCACTGGCTCCCAGTGGTCTTCCGGGTGCACTTCAAGGTGTTGGTTATCACCTTTAAAGCGCTCCATGGCATAGGACCTAGATATCTTCGAGACCGCCTGCTGCTACCAACGGCCTCCCATCGACCTGTGCGCTCCCACAGAGAGGGCCTCCTCGGGGTGCCATCAGCCAAACAATGTAGGCTGGTGACTCCCAGGGGGAGGGCCTTCTCTGTGGGGGCACCCACCCTCTGGAACCAACCACCCCCAGAGATAAGGCGAATCCAAGACCTCGGTACCTTCCGCCGTGCCCTTAAAACCTTCTTTTTTCAGCAAGCCGGGCTGGCTTAACTTTTTTTCTTAATTTTTTAAATGTTTTAAATGGGTTTGTTATTCTTAAATTACGGGGCCAAATTTATATATATTCTTTTAATACTATTTTAATGTTTGTATTTTATGTTTTTATTCGGCTGTACACCGCCCTGAGTCCTCAGGGAGAAGGGCGGTATATAAATTGGATATAAAATAAAAAATAAAATAAATGTTACCTAGATCCATTGGGGACCCCTGTCTTAGAGCACTTGGGACAATGAGTATGCTAGAATATTCTGTGTAGTATCCATAGAAGATAATATTTGTAGTTCAGGGTTGAGCTTCTCCCTGGTGCTCTCTGAGCTTGGTTGTTTCCTTGCAGATTGTTCACTACCAAACTAGGAAATATCACCAAAGATATTAGGGAGTGAGATTTGCTTTCATTTTATATACAAGTAATTTATCCTGTCAATGTTGGTGGGAGTGGTCTTGGTGGTTCCTTAATTGGGCTGTTGTTACTGTTAGCTTGTTTGTCTGATTTGGTAGCTATTTGATTGGGTATTGTTTGCTTCTTGATTGTTGGTCCAATGTTGATCTTGCTGTTCATCTCTGCTCATCTGGGTGTTGATTGCTGGTGAGGAGGTGTTTTGGTCTCTTTGTTTCCTTTTTGGCTCTTTGATTGTCTCTCTTAAATGGTATATAGATGTTGTTTATCTCTATGTACTTGCTGATGGCCAATTTGTATGAGAATCAGGCCTCTAGAAATGCTCCAGCTTTTTTGGGACTTAGCTTGTTCTAGAATGCTCACAGTTTCCCAGTTCAAGCTATGTTAAGTCTGTCCATGTGTCGTGAACTTAAGGAGTTAACTGTTGAGTTGTGTAGTATCCAATTAAGTACTGTTGCAGTATTGTGAGGTATCTGTCATTAAAGAACATGATCTATTTCATAGGGGTTTTCTCCTTATGAGTACTAAGTTTATTTCCTTCTAGGAAATACAATTATTTAAGGGTATTTCCTTATCAGAGAGAAATTAACATAGTAACAAATCAGAGGTTTTCAGTGTGACTCTTGTGCTCACTCAGGAGCAAAATGATTAAGTAGGTTAAGATGCCATGTTTTGTTCTGTAGATACCCATGCATTAAAGTAAATTCCTACATTGCAGTATAGCAATACTTGCTTTTTGCCATTCTGTTTGCAAAGGTGAAATCAGTTCATCCTCAACTTTAATAACGATTAAAACTGAGCGTAATAACCTATTATCCATAACAGAATATTTAACCTATGTATGCATAACTTAGCCATGAATATTTACCTAAGTTCATTTAGTACAGATAGAAATTATGATTTGTCTGCTAACTTAGGACATGCCTCAGGATGGTATTTATAGAAAGACATTGCTTCAAACTGACATTTATCACTCTGAAAGCAGAGAAAGAATTCATTTAACTACCGTATAGTTGCCCGTTGCCCTTAAAAAACCTAGCTTTAGGTCTTTAGAGGGCTTAGTCTGTCCACGCCCCAAACTGTGCTTCCTTTTTTCTGCCAGCACTAACTAAGAGAGCACACATACACACAAACACACCATTGCCCATAAAAGGCAAAAGGAGAACCTCTGGGACCATTAATAATTTGGAGTTCATTCCAGAGGTGCTGGAGTACTTTTCCATAATCAAAGTATAATGTGTGATTTCTTTTCTCCGCTGATAGATATCCCTCTCCCAATTAAGAAATAGGATATTTCTTCCAGGACCCTGTATCAGTAATGGTCTCTAGTGAAAATCTTTGTCACAACAGTAGAGAGCAGCTCATTTTAGTTTTTAGTTCCAGAGAGCAATAGTAAGGGTGAGTCATCTGTTTCAGAGATCCATTTCATGTTCCTCTGGAAGTAAGTCAGTAGACTATCTACTTAACTCACTACTGTCTACATTAATAACTAAGTTTGTGTATGTTACACTATCCATAATTTATTTTAAGTACAATATGATTTGTTGAAGCCACAATGACCTGATTTACACAGGGCTGGAGTTTACAAATAAAAATGGTAGAGTTCATGCATGACACTAAGCCAACACCAAATGAACTAATTAAAAGAAGCATCAGCCCTTTGCTGTTACGCGTTATATTTGGAATCTGAAGAAAATATTGCAAACATTCAAGGACAGGATGGGGGAGAGCCCAGGAGTTATTGGAGTGCCATGATAGGAAGGATATGAAGTATTTGTATGTTGTTGTTTAATTCATTTTATTATGAGCTGCCTAGGATTATTGTGTCAGGTAGGCAGCCTTGTAAGTTGTATAGATAGATAAGTTAAAAGTATTTGTTTATAAGATGGCATATTTCCAAAATCAAAAAAAAAAAATACTACAAGGTTGTAACCCTCCCCTGTCCCAAAATGTTTTTTTTTTCCTAAGAATGCCCCAGGTGTTTCTGAGCCCAGACATATTCTTGGAAATAAAATTGTACTTGAGTTTGATACTTTGTCTTGCATAAATTTCAAGCATAATCTTTTTTAAAAAAAATGTATTATGTTTTGGGGGTGAGAAGAACTAGATTCAATATAATCCCAATGAAATGATGAGAAAGTGCATAGTGATTTACTAAAGCAGAGAGACAGGATACAGAGGAATTATATTTTATGCGTTTCTTCAGATGTCTTTGGGGATCCCCTATAAGCCACTGCAATGTCATATTGACTTTGGAGTTTCATAGGAGCTTCTATTACATAAAATTTTGCACTGGAAAATAGCTCATTCCCTAGACTAGAATTTCTCAATGTTGGCAACTTTAAGATGGGTAAGGTATGATTCCCAGAATTCCCCAGTCAGCTATGTTGTCTGGGCAATTCTGGGAGTTGAAGTCCACCCATCATAAAGTTGTGAAGGTTGAGAAACACTGCCCTAGGCAATAGTAGGCCCTCTATTGGACTATAAATTCAGCACTTACTAACACTAATTTACTTCAGGTTTCAATCTTAACATTTAAATAGTTTTAATGTTCCAGTCCTCCAGAGTTTATGTGCTGAAGAAAGCTCTCCAGTAGATTTTTAAATTTCCTGCATATTTTACATTTTGCAGTTCTAAAAATTTTTTTTTTAAATGCAGTGTAGTTTAGGATATTGATATACTTATGAAAGTGAAAAGTTGGACTTAACATTGTTCCCATGTTTTATTTTAGGAGATTGAACTTCTAAGCATTGCACTGAACACTCATAAAATGAGCAAAAGGAGGATTTTTTCTGTATTTCTGATCTAATTTTCTAATAATTTCCAGGTCTGCCTTCTTCATTGCGTCCAGCTTGCTTAGAAGCAGTAATGGCAACAGAATGCATTAAGAATTGTTGTAGAGGATGTTTATATGCTAATAAAGAAAAACATGATGGTAAGTTTAATTAATTTAAATATCTTAATTTTTTAATGGTGACATGACAAAACTAGCCATTGCTTGGGAGGAGCAATTATTATTTTCAACAGTGTCATGGGTAAAATTTGTGAATATCTAATTGTGATGTCACAATATCTGATCCTAAAAGAACCAATTATAGGTACATTTAGTACTGCAGGGTGGTAATCTTCAAGTGAACTACAATTCTCAACCAGTATGGCAAAAAGGAAAATATTGTGGGAGATATAATCAAAAATATGTAAAGAGCAACAAATTGCATAAAATAACACGCATTGGATCGTATAATTGGAAGGGGCCTTTTAGGCTCCCTAGTCCACCTCTAGTCCAAAGTAAAGCTTCCCTAATAGATGTCAGTCTCGCTTTCGCTTAAACTCATGCACTAACTCCTGTACAGGTAGTCCTCGACTTATGACCACAATTGAGCCCAAAATTTATGTTGCTAAGCGAGACAGTTGATAAGTGAATTTTGCCCCATTTTACATCCTTTCTTGGTACAGTTCTTAAGTGAATCACTGCAGTTGTTAAGTTAGTAACATGGTTGTTAAGTGAATCTGGCTTTCCCATTGACTTTGCTTGCCAGAAGGTGACAAAAGGTGATTACATGACCCCGGGATACTGCAACAGTCATAAATATGAGTCAGTTGTCAAGCATCTGTATTTTGATCAGTAAGTGTGAAAAATAGTCATGTCACTTTTTTCAATGTCGTTGTAGCTACAAACGGTCACTAAATGAACTGTTGTTAAGACGTGGACTACTTGTACCTCTTTCCAGTTTGATGGGCAGCATTTCAACTCCATTTTTGATTCAGTTATTCATCTACTAGGTTGCCATCCTATATCTAGCCCACACTTGCCAGCTAGCTTGCTAATCAGAATGTCATGTTGTACTTTATGAAATGGAACTCTATGTCTAGTCTGATGAAAAGAAGGACTAGGGGTGACATGATAGCAGTGTTCCAATATCTCAGGGGCTGCCACAAAGAAGAGGGAGTCAAACTATTCTCCAAAGCACCTGAAGGTAGAACAAGAAGCAGTGGGTAGAAACTAATCAAGGAGAGAAGCAACGTAGAACTAAGGAGAAATTTCCTGACAGTTAGAACAATTAATCAGTGGAACAACTTGCCTCCAGAAGTTGTTAATGCACCAACACTGGAAGTTTTAAAGAAGAGATTGGATAACCATTTGTCTGAAGTGGCATAGGCTTCCTGCCTAAGCAGGGGATTGGACTCCAAGGTCCCTTCCAGCTCTGTTATTCTATTCTAAACGGTTTGCCAAAATCAAAATATTTTACAGATGCTTAAAGAGGCATAAAATTGGTCATACTCCAGTCAACTGGCACTTTAACCTTTTTCCAGGATACATATATAGTTTAATGATTAGAATTAAGTTTTGTCTGTATTTATAATTTTAAGTAAATTGGTAGTTTATTGATTCTGAGATCTTCTCTTAACCAGCACTGACAAATAATTGAAATCATCAATTATAATATCTTAGAACCATTGCAAACCCTCTCAAAATTGATATATTAACTGCTCTATATCTCAATCAATATGTTGGAAAAATGTATTTGTCTGTGATCCTATTAAAATACAAAAGATCATGAATTAAGTACTGAATGCATTTGCTTCTTTTTGTGTTATATAACAGCCTCTCTGGAGAAACAGTCTACAGTTACCGACAAGTATACATCAAAAGTAGTGGAGAAACCTCCTTTGTCTTCTGTATCCATGAAAAGGCAGGTTGGCTGTTCAGAAGATTATCTTCTCTCTAAGTTCCCACCCGGTGGCAAAGAAATACCCTTTGTAGTTCCTCAGTTCAAGCTTGCTTACATCCAACCTCGGAATCTTAGTAATCCACACCTTGGGGGACTTCAAGGTAAAAAGATGAAAGAGTGTAAAATTAATGTGTCTTTTTGAGAGGCTGCCTTTAGATGCATTGGAAACTTGCTTATGCAATTGATTACTTATTCAAATTGCTAATTAAGACTTAAGATCGAACTATATAGATACATGCAGAAAAAAGTGATCTTCTTTAAGATTAGGTAGAAGTCTTTCTTGGGTTCTCACCTGTCTCCCCTACACATGCAGCATTGAAATAGAAGCAGGCCATTGATACTCTTTAAACTTTAATTATTTATTTATTTATTTATGAGATTTATATGCCGCCCTATCTCCAGCCGGACTCAAGGCAGCTCACAACAGTTAAGAAACATCTAATAAAAAGTTAAAAAATTAAATCCAAATCTCATAATTTAACAGTTAAAAGTACAATTAAGACTAACAAGTTAAAATTAAATTAGAATTAAAACCCCATCAATCCAGGCCGGCCAAACGAAACAGCCACGTTTTCAGGTCGCGGCGGAAAGAGCGGAGGTCGGGGGCCACCCGGAGCTCCAGGGGCAGTTGATTCCAAAGGGTAGGGGCGCTCACAGAGAAAGCCGTCCCCCTGGGAGTCGCCAGCCGACACTGTCTGGCCAACGGCACCCTGAGGAGGCCCTCTCTGTGGGAACGCACCGGGCGATGGGAAGCTGTTGCTGGCTGCAGATGGTCCCCCAAGTAAATAAAGTAAAAACACAGCTTTTCCCCATAGGCTTTGTTTTTTTGATGTTTTTATTTGTGCCTGATCCTTTTGGATTGTTACCTGTTTGTTTACTGTGGCTTAAAAGCAAAACCAAAAATTATAAATGCTGTATTGGCTGATTTGTTTCTAAATTCTATAATGAATTGTAGATTATTAAAGTATGTATTTTTTCTTACTGTTTTGGATTATTCTGTGACTTCATGGAAGTCTGTCCTATCCACCACTTGTTAACCTAAAATGCATTTCACTGTCCATGTCCAAGAAGGAAAACTCCTGTCTTCTACTGAGATTGGTTATAGTCTTTTTATTCTTTAAACATCCAGATCAAACTTTTTTAAAAAAACTGCTGTTTCTTTCAGATGATAGTTTTTATTCCAGCTACATGACTTAATCTGGATTGGACAATAGAGCAAAGGTCTTGTTTCTGCCAGATATAGTTCCCTTCTCATGACAATATGCTCTTTTGTTCGTACTTCTGAACTTGCTAGCCTTACTTGTCCCTAGAGTCTGTTGAATGAAAAAACAGTATCTTATTGTGAAAGGCGTGCACCTCAAGGACTGTCAGAGCAGAGAATTGTGCAAGCCAGACGTTTAGAGCACAATGTATTCCTGGCATTACAATCTAAAAAAAAAGTCAAATGTTTTGTCTTACTGGAAATTTTAGCTCTTAAATATTTAAACTATTCTTAAACATAGTTTTAATCACATAACAATGCTAGGCTTGCACATTAAATCTGCACTTGTGGTTTTATGATATAGAGCAAGTTCTCAAACTTGGCAGTTTTAAGATCCAACTCCCAGAATTGCCCAGCTAGCCATACAGAGGAGTTCCTTCTTTTTCTGAAATGCTCAATTCCAAGCATTGTTATCATCATAATAAATTTGATCATGAAAGTGAATTGGGATGACTCTTGTAACCCCTTTGCTTCTTTAACGATGGGAAGAGAAATGAGAACAATGTTGAACAATTTCTAATCATCTAAAATAAGCCATGTTCAAAAGTTAACTTCCGTATATTAAGTTGTTTAAGTGATTAAGTATAATTTCTGCTAGGTATGAAACAAGATACCAAGGGTGCATCAGATTGCCTGCAAACTGAAGAACAAAGCAGCTTACAAGTGTGCTTATTTATTTGTGTTATTTAGGAACTGCCTAACACCACAAATCCCTTATGGAGGTGCCCTTCAGATCTATTGCCAGGTTTAAAAATCTAACTGCATGGTTTGATGCCTCTCTGATGAAAGTAGTGAAGCTTTCAGGATTGATGTCAGCCCTTTGAGATAGGCCAAGTCAGGAGATAGGCACTGTAGGGATTCTAGGTATGCTGCTTTATTGTAGGGGTTAGAATAACAGAATCTTGAAAGTGTTTCTCTCTGCACTCTCTCTTATTTCTCTTATAGCAGAAAAAATCCTGATGGAATTATTTCAAATTTCTTCCTCATGCTTTCCATATTTTTAGGACTGAGTTGCCGTTTCACTTCCTTTAACAATTGATGCCTTCCTTGCCCAAAGTCATCCCTGCATTCCTTTACAGGGAGAGATGGTTACATTGCCTCTTACAAGCTTTCCACAAGGGGCTCCCTGGGCACCTAAACAGAAGCCTTTTGAAGACTTCACTTGGAAACAGTCCTTGCATATCAAATTGAGGGTTTCTTGGTGCTCTCTGAGCTGCATTGTTTTCTTACAGGCGTTTCATTACACAAACTAGGTAACATCATCAGGGTTAGCAAAGACTAGCATGATGATGTTATCTAGTTTGGATAATGAAACGTCTGCAAGAAAATTAACCCAGATCAGAGAGCACCAAGGACCCCTCATTTCAATCCTGAGCTACAAATACTCTCCTTTATTGGTATTATCAAGTCTATCATTTTCCGATACTTGATGCATGACCCTTACTCCTCACTTCAGTAATGGCATCCTTTCCTTATTTGTTTTTCCCAAATGTTTTTCTATAACCTACAGAAGCAATTTATGAAAGACCTAACTATATGTCTGTCTTAAAAACATCCAGGCTACTTTTGGACTGAGGGCTCCCTCTTGTTCTTTTTGTACCATCCCAGTTATGTCATGGTTGATAGTCTTTTTGGTAGCCATGGCATTGGCCTGTCAACCTGGTAAACTGTTTGCCTTATAAAAAGATCCTGTTCCCCCTTCACCCAGATATTTCTTTCTTTCCAAAGTCAGTATTGGCCTTCTGCTTGGATCAAGTTTTCCTCACCATCTCGGCATTCTTTGAAAACATTACGATACTTTTTTGGGAGGGGTGCGATATCTCTAACACGGACTTGTTATTTGGACTGTTTAGTATCATTTCAGTGCAACCGATGCTTATTCCTGGCTTTCCAAGGCCAATCTTAAAGAGCATGATCTTCCTTTCGACAGTTCTCCAATTGGATAATGGCTGCCATCAAGCTTTGCTATAAATTGGCTAAACAGTCATATCCAGTCTGTGCTTATACCACAAGAGCAATAGCAGCATAGACATCCTTCCTCTGAGTTATTTCCCTACTTGGAGCAAACTCTTCCTGCTCCCCTACAACTCCTGCTGGAACAACCAATTAGTGTAGCTAGTAATGCTTAACAAATGTCAATAATACAAAAAATAAGGAACATGCTCTTAATTTCCCCCAGCTTTTAAAATGTCTAATATCAGTATTAAAGTACTTTACTCTAGTAGCAGCTTTTATTTTTGTGATATTTTATATTAAAATACTGACTTCTATATAGCCATGAAACATAGGAAAAAGAAACATGTTTTTTAAAATCTATTTTAGGCTGACCTCCTGCTCATATTTTACAGATAATTTCAGTTCAGTGATGATTTGCTTAATGATATATCATACTTTTCAGGTTCAGTTGTAACGTCTTTCAGTGATCGGAAAGCAGAACTTTCCAATATATACCATCAAAGACCTCCTGCTGATGTGGTGTATAATCCCTTCTATATGCAACTGCCACCTCTTTCTCCAGATTTCAGTCAAGTCCACACAGAAAAAATGGTGAACAAGAGATTATATGGGTCAGGTAAAAGAGTTCATCAGTTTTAACACCATTTTAAAGAATAGTATTAAAAGACAGCAGACATGAATTCTGCCTTTTTATATTAGTTGTGAATAAAATAGGCCTATATTAAACTATAAAAACATAAATGAGACATATTTTTCTACATGTTTATGTGTCTATTTCTGATTGATTTCCCGAATTGCCTTCCATTCAGGCTGCCCCTATTAGTACAGTACTGTATTTTGTTATTTCAGGTCGTTCTTGTATTTGTATTCAGTTCATGGGCAAGACATTCAAGCTCTTTTTTACACTAAAGCTACATACTCTAGGTGCAAAACTCTGAAAGGAAGAAGAACAAGTTCATTTAAAGAGCAGCTTTATCTGAGAGGATAAATCTCTGTGGTATTTATATGGACTGCATTTCTTTGAAGCAAAAGCAGAAGCTGCAGATATTGTCTAAGAAGAAAATAGTTTAAGGATGATCAGTATTTGACATAGACCGACCAGGTGAAGTAAGGAAAAGTCCAAGCCCAATTGAATGGTGGTGTTTTAGGGAATTAATCAATGAATAGTTTTTCACAAGCATACTGTAACACTTGAGGGCCACTTTGGTACAGTTGTAGTATTTTAAGAATTTTGTACTGAAATAGAAATAAATTTGCTGCGTTTTTGATATTGGAAGTTTAGATATTATGTGTGGCATTATCTTTGATTTTTTTAACTTCTATTCATACTACTTTCTGGCCTTTAGTTGGGTTGCTTTTCTTTCAAATGTTTTCCAGCTTAGCTAGTATAGCAGCAGTCACTGGTACCTACCATTGTTAGTTTATATTGGTTGGAGTGATGTGTGAGTGGAATATTGAGAGGGGAACAGCTATTAAACACAAAGACACACAGAAGAAGTTGGTTGTATCTGCATGACTGCCAGTCTTCCTGCTAAGTTATTGCAGTCTTAAAAAATATTTGGTATAGGAAAGTAAGAAGTATGTAAGCTGCTGTAGGTAAGCAGCTTACATACATTGCACTATGCAAACAGATACCGTGTTTCCCCAAAAATAAGACCCTGTTTTATATTTTTTTGAACCCTGAAAAAAGCACCTTATTGTCATGCGCTCAAAAGCCATCTTCAGGCTGTATAAAGTTATTTAAATATCCATAGAACATAAACTGGGATGATTGGTTGAACTTTAATTTACTGTTTGCATACTGTTGTGTCTTTCTGATGCTGAGTGTCTGAATGCAGGTAAAAATGCAGAGCCTCCATGTTGGTCTGGACTGTTTTGTTGCAATTTTGGGCACATGTCAACTTTTTATATATGCTCTTGTACCCTGTTAAATTTTTTAAAAGTATATTTAAAAATCCTAAACCTAAGACTCTTTTGTTTTCATTCCATGCTCTTTTTGTCAATTGATTCTGCTGTTTAACTTTTGCTGACTTAGTTCTTGTTGGGGGTGTGAAGCTTTTTCAGACTTGCTTGCTGCTCCTAGAGCTACGACAGGACTTCTTGTTAGCTTGTTGTCTTTTTTGCTTGTTGCCATTGCAGTCTTGTGCCATAGAGTCAGGTCCATTCATACAGGAGTTAAAGCGTGGCTCTCTTTGTCTTGTGTTACCTTCTTGGCAGGGAAAATTTAAGGGAATGCAAGGGATGTAAAGGAAAACTCTCTCTGTCATAAAGCTGGGCAGAATCCTTTTCTAATAAAAGATTCAACCTCTGCTTGTCTTTTTCCCGTGCTTGTTTTTGTTTTGTTGGCAATTACTGTACATTTCCAGTTTTGTCTGTACTAGCAGTCAGCATAGACAGTCACCTGACCTATTCTTGCAACACTAAATAAAAATCAGGGGAGCAAAGCTCTGATCTTCTGTTGCCATTGTTTGCTATGGTTAGAACATTAGAAACCAGGAAGAATCTGTCTATGGATTCAGTCATCCAGGTCACGGTAGTCCCAAAGGGGCTTTTTCAAGCGGCAACTGGAAAATCCTTGAAAAAGCATCTTTGAGACAGGAAGAATCTGGTAGCACCTTTTCTGACTATCAGGTTATATTAGAAGGCGTAAGCTTTTGTGAGCTATAGCTCACTTTAACAAAAACTTGTGCTGTAAAAGTCTGTAGAGATTCTCAGTCATCTAGGTCATGGTTTGTCCCGAAGGAGCGTTTTTCAGGACACAACTGGACTTTCTTGTTTTTTCTTTGAAGACATTTCGCTGCTCATCCAAAGAAGCTTCTTCATCTCTGACAGGATAGTGGGGAATGGAAGGATTTTTATTCCTTGAAGACAGCTGGTCATTTGCATCCTTTTTGAGGGTCGTTGAAGCACTTGGAGGTTTATCCTTGTCCACAGGGTCACCTAAGTAGTGCTCCTGGTTCCGGTAGTCTGCAATTTTTCTCTGGAAATCCAGAGAAGAAAAAAAAATTCACAATTTTTCTCTGGAAAATTGTGTTGTAGCTCATGAAAGTTCATGCAGTTTAATGATATTTGTTAATAGGAAAAGATTCCACCAGACTCCTGATTTTTTCCATAGTTAGACTTGTCTGTTGTTAGGAAGTGATAGCAATTTCTCACTTGATTATGAATCAAATTAATCTATGAACTTTTATAACAGTTTATAGCAACTTCATATCAACCCCATTCTGGTATAGAATTTTTTCAAGTTTAGCATTTTTATTGAGTTATAAAATATTGTATAGAATTTTTAAAAACTAAATTGCTCTTGAAATTTCTGTTTCCTTTTTCAGTTTGTGACTTAAGAAGTAGCACATTGCCCTGCTCTTCCTCTTTAAGTCATTCTATGTTTGATCTTACAAGCCCATCCCACCGATTTCAGGTAAATATGTGTTATTTAATGTTAATGTGATACCAAGCTTTATTAATAATTGTAAATGATTGATTACAGGTACTCTTTGACCTATGACCACCAATGAAACTGGAATTTCAGTTTGCTAAATGATGTGGCCATTAAGTAAATCATCATTTGACTGGACCACTTTTACTGCAATCATTAAGCAAATCATGTGGTTGTTAGGTGAATCACACAGTTGTTAAACAAACATGTCTTCCCCAATTGACTTTGCTTCACGGAAGCCAGCTGGAAGGGTCACAAATCAAAGGGTCACAAGATGCTGCAACTGTTGTAAATGCAAGCCAGTTGCCAAGTGCCTGAATTGCAATCACAAGACTGCAGGGGTAGTGCAATGGTTGTAACTTTGAGGACAAGTTGTAAGTCACTTTTTTTGAGTCTGTCATAACTGAATTGTTGTTAAACGATCAGTCATAAATTGAGGACTACCTATAATTCCTTAATATATTTCAATCTCACACCTAGTTCTGTATTTCCTTGTTCTTGGTTTTTGTTGTTGTTATTGTTAACTAATCAGACTTTCTTTTTTTCCTGGAAGAGGTATGATTCTGCCTCCAGTACACCAAGCAGCATCTCCTCCAGAAAGAATTCACAAGGTAGTAACAGAAGTTTAGGTAATGAGCACTGTTGTCTTGTCTTACTTCTGGTAGAGATCTAATAAACTGGGCTTCATATGATGAGAGGGGTCTGTGAACTCCCGAAATACCTGGTACAATCATACTGTAGATGTAGGCCTATATAGGTTCTACATTATGTACTTATAAAATCAAAATATATTTTGACTTAGAAGTTCCAGAATTTCTGTTATACTTCTCTTTTTAGCTTTATTAGAAGTGGAGGTTACATTGATATCTTAATAACAGTTAAAATAGACTTCATTGGAAGAAAAATATAGGTTGGAATAAGTTATAGCCTTAAGCCTTAACTTAAGTTGATTGAACCCAACAAATATGAGACTTAGTTAAAATATGTTGCATGACTTCCTAGACTACAATATTTGATATAATAAATAGAAGCATAAGGTACACATTTTTTAATCCTCTGTAGTAAAAAAAGAAATAAAACTCTCCCTTTAATGAAAAGCTAATGTATCCAGAGTAGAGGAATTTCATAAAAGTGGTTTGATAACGACCTTATTCTCCACATGGAAACTTCTTTACCTATGCATATTCAAATATGTAATTACAATATGAATTGGTACAAATGTGGAATGGCTGAATCATATACTCTCTTCAAAAGCCAATCCTTATTTTAGGGGCGAAAAATCATTGGAAATTCTGAGTGGTTAGGGCACGGATGTCAAATTCGCAGCATCACGTTGCCATCACGTGACGTTTCATGATGTTTTTCCCATTCATGGAGCTGGGGTGGGCTTGGCCTGCGCATGACACATCCGGCCCACAGGCTGCCAGTTTGACACCCCTGGGTTAGGGAAAGAGGGCCAAGGACTGGGAAAATCCACTGAAGCAAAAAAAACAAAACAAAAAACCAGTCTGTAGGAAATAGGCAAATATTGAATAGTAAGTGAGGGTACCACATAGAAAATAATCGGATTAAGAGAATGAAATGACATTTCAAGTTGAAGCTCCTGAAATCACTGCTCCAAAGCTAACAGCAAGGAAGCAAGCATTTTATTAGTATAAAGAAATATTCCTCACACTACACTGGAGTGAACTTTATTGAATGTGTTTTTGACACAGTGCATCCTGTGTTAAATCATCCTTGCTCAGAATTCTGGGAATTGCAGTCCCACTGCATCTGAAGAGTGGCAGGTTGGTGAAGATTGCTGTAGACTAAAAGAAAGTACTTTCAGAAGCCTAGCATAGCACATTGTTTTAGACTCATTTGCCTAGTCCTGGTCCTTTTAGCATAAACTTTGCTTGGCAGAGTATACAACGCTGGTGAAAAGGTTAATCTCTCTGGTTCTGCCAGTGCAGGTGTATGCTGAAGAATGTTGGCAACCCACTAGCTTGTTAATGTAGTTTTGAAAACACCTTTTATGATGCATTAAGGCAGGATTAATCATAAACAGCTGAAACACTGACAAATTTGATTTCTATCAAACACATGTATTTCCTTATGTACAGCTGACATATCCTGGCAGGAAGGAGAAATATTTAAGTAATGAGAACAGATTTTTAAAAAGTAGTCTGAGTTCATTGGATAAACGAATGTTTTTTCAGTCTTTGAGAACAAGTTCCAAAAGTGTTTTTGGATTTATCCCCAGATACAATTACATTATCAGGTGACGAAAGAGAATTTGGCAGACTGAATGTGAAGGTGTGCTACATTTTTTCTGTAGAACAGATATGGATCACCGTCTTGAAAGTAAGTAATCCTAAAAAGGATTCAGTTACTGGTTCTTGAATAGTTCCATTAGGGGCACTTGTGAAAAAAAAATCTAGTTTATACTCTAAACTCAGCTGTTAGGCAAGAACCATAAGGTTGACAAAGAAGCCTCCTTCTAAAAACCACAGTGGCTCCATTTACTAGTGAATAAACATTATAGAGTAACCTGTTCAGAGATACACTTACTGGACAGATTCAAATTAAACAGACAAATAATATGTGCAGCTTTTTTTTTACTTCGTCTCACCCTACTTTAATTTCATGTTATCTAGGTTTCATTCAAGACTGGTACATCTGGCTCTTGTATGAAAAAATAGAAACATCCACTGGAAAGCTCAATAAAGTGTTTTAAATGATAACCATTCTAAATAAAACAATGAAAATATGTGTGAGATTTTCATTAATCATTATACAGAATTTCTCAATCCCCCATTCACTTCCACTTTTTGCTGATACACATACACACTCCCAGGCAGTCCCACCTACTGTGTCTTTCTCTGTGTAATCCCATACACATCCTGAGTACATCTGGGAACAATAAGACATTTTTATTTTATTTATTTATTGAATTTGTACAATCGCCTGTCTCACCAATTGTGACACTGGGCAGTACACAATCATATAAAACACCAAATGTAAAAACAAGAGATAAAAATATAAAAAAAAAATCATTACACACACACACACACACACACACACACACACACACACACCCCTAACTAGTGTGAAGGGAGGATAAAATTGCCCCACTCAACAATGGATCCATCTAACAAGTCTTAATGGACAATTGCACTTTTTATTATATATATATGAACATCATTACTGATCTAGCTAGATTTTATTAGCAATAGAGGAAACTGTTTTATACTGAGTTGGAACATCTTCCATTACATCCATTCCTTCTGGACATAAAACTAGAATTTTGCTGTATGAAATCCTTTTATTTGAAAATGAGAGGAATTTAATTGGAACAGTGTATGTACAGAGTACATACTGTTTCATAAACCAGTGCATCTTCAGACATAACATTATTTGGAAAGAGAGTACTTTGTGCTTTAATCTACTTCATTTCATTATAATTTTTATTGTGTTAATTCTGTATTCATGAAAGTATGAGAAAGAGGCATTATTGTCACTCAGACAGCCAGTATTAAACCACTTTTTCAGCAATAATTATCTAATGCAATAATTCGAATTGGCAAGAGTTGATTGTTCAGTTGCTTTGAGATTTTATGAACTTGGAGAACCATATTTTATAGTAAGATGAATGGTAATGTTAATCATAAATAAAACACACTGACATAAGGAGACTAAGCATGTAGTTGTGTTTTCCTACATTGCATTATTTAATTTTCAATTTTGTAGTGCAAAGATTTGAACTGGTCATCTACTTGTGAAGAACACCCTCAAATTTCCATCAAAGGAATCCTTACCCTACACAAACCAGTGCAGTTCAGATGTTTAGCAAAAGAAGCTTCCAATGTAAGTGGCACTTTTTAAAAAAAACACAAAATCTATTTCAAAATTCTTCTATATGTAATATGTGAATTGATAAAAGTAGAGACATGAGTGATTATGGATAAGGATTTTTTTTCCTTTCAAATCTCACATTTGACTGTCGCCTCTAGGACATTGAGTTCATGGAAACCTTTGTATTTGCTATTAAACTGCAACTCCTCCAGACTGCAAGACTTGTGTTCAAAGTACAATCCCTGATTCCCAGGAGAAAAACTATAGGAGAATGTATTTTGCCCCTGCGAGACCTCAGTTCACAGGAAGTGGATTATTGGCTGATGATAACACCTCCTTCCAAAGCTTTAGTAAGTTAAAGTATCCCAAGGATTCTTGAAGGAAATACATGGGGCTTTATGCAGGAACAGAAATCTAGAATTGGTTTTGGGTCCTTTTGTTTATATTCATTGATTCTTCCCTGCTTCTGGGAGGGGGGAGGTGCAGGGAGAAAAGAGGCCCCTCACTTGTAGCCCCTATCGGCTAAGACTTTCACACTCACTTCTCCCATTGCCAAATTGCAATGAAAACTGTTCCTTTTCATCTACAAAGGTAATGTCTGAAAAATTATGAACAGGGTGCAAAGCCTATAATTCTTTAGATGTTGCAACTCTTTCTTCACCTGTTGTAAATTCACCTCCATCCTAACTATATATTCACAATAGCTTTATATCTCTAATATAATAGTAGTTTTTATTCTGAGGCTGGATTATGTAACAGGATTTGACCTGTTTCGAAAAGGATAGCCTAAATAAGTCTCTTGATTTTCACTGGTCTGGCCTACCTTGAACAGCTGATATCTCCACAAGAAAATTAAAACTATAATTTCTTGAGATAGTCTACAATAAGAGATCCTTACAAGGCAGTATTTTACCCTCTTTCGTTTACTCCATGAATCAAAGAACTACTTGCCTGCTTCTGAATATTTCTGCAATTTGTAATTCCTTTTTGTGTGGCAAGGGTTCTTGAAAATATATATCAAGGTCATCTTCTTTACTCTCCATATGTAAGACAGATTGGCATTCCTCTGAAATGGAGTAACATTGGTAATGAAAGTATTTTAATTATAAAACTTCATCACTATAGAATTCCACACAAGGAAGTTATATTGTAGCTTCACTTATTAACATCTGCCAGAACCGGCTCTAAAGAACCAGGAAATGAATTCCATGAACCAAAGGTCATCCCAACCTCATGAAAAAGTCTTCAGAAATGTAAGGCAGTTTTTTTTAAAAAACAGTTTATAATCTGGAAAAAAGAGATCCTGCCATTTTAAAAAATGGACAGATCCCACAGAAATCCTGACAACACTTTTCGCAAAACATATACAATAGGGTTGTTTTTTTTAATCCCAATCTTGATTCTGGCAAATTTGGAAGGATTAGAATTTACAATTCTATAGCATACAAAAGTAGCATTATCAGGTATTTTTTAAAAAGAGAGAGCTACTGTTTGATTAAACTGATGTTTCTTTGTCAAAATGGAAAGTCTGATCTTTTCACTTCACACCTGTGTAACAAAATATTTTATTTGTGAAAGTTAGCTAAAATGAAGATGGAACATTTCTTTGCTCTTTGACTCTCTGTGCAGGTGTGTTCTGCAGAATTGAAAATAGGCACCTGTTTTCAAGCAGTAAACAGCCGGATTCAGTTGCAAATCCTGGAAGCTCAGAACCTTCCAAGTTCATCCACACCATTGTCTTCAAGTAAATACTATAGTCTTATTGCTCAAACTCCATAAAGGAGACCATGTTTAAATACAAAACTACACATCTCTGTGTGGCTACTATTGTTCTTTTATGATTGCATAATAACTTTTATATCAAGGCATGTCATATCTTGATCTACTATCTAGGCTTTAGTAAAACTAAAAAGAAGCCATTTCTTCTGAATCCTCTCAGTTGATTCTGTTTATTTTAAAATATGTTTTCTTAAAGCCTGTTATTTAATATTCAAATACGTTTAGAGCAGTGGTGAAATGTAAAATTTGTTACTACTGGTTCTGTGAGTGTGGCTTGGTAGGGGGTAATGTGACTGAGTGGGCGTGGCCTTTTTTTTTTAACTTTTAAAACCATTTTTTCTACAACCTCTTCAGCTGAAGAGGTTATAAAAAAAATGCTTTTACAAGTCTCTGACGATCCCAGCTGAGCTGTGCAATCATCAGAGGCTATTTTTACTTTTAAAAGCATTTTTTCGGCCAAAGAGGTTGTAGAAATATCAGTATATATCAATATATCAATATATATCAGTGGATCAATAAGCAAAAACCTGCACTTTAAGTGGAAAGGTGAATTCCATTGGTCTTTATAACAGCCTGGTACTGGGAACTGAAGCTGCTTTCCAGTGAGCAGAGTCTTGATTCCAAGGGGTGAGCAATGAATGTCTATGCCTTAAAATGCATCCACTCTGGGGGGACCCTCTCTCCCCATTTGCCCATCATATTATAATTAACAATAACATGTTCTTTCATTTTGGGATTTCAAACTTCACACAGTGAAAACATTTTTTAAAAATTGTCGTTAATTCTACCATAGATTTTTTCGTAAAGATTGTGATGCTCAGCACTGAAGGATTGGTTGATAAGAAAAAAACTCGTCTGCTGAAATCTACTAACAGTCAAGTAAAATGGGGAGAAACCCTGATGTTCCCTGTGAGCCAGAATGAACATGGAATAAACTTTCTCATCAAACTCTATAGTAGGAGCTCAGTGAGAAGAAAACATTTCCTGGGACAGGTTGGTTCTCCCTCCCCCCACCCACATGACACCCAATGCAAAAGTTTCTGAATTCTAAACTTAAAATGTATGTGGACCATAAACTTCGCTTTTTACCAAAAAATGTTACCATTAATATCATCCTGGTTGAAATAGAACAGAAATAGGAAGCCTGCAACCTTCCAGATTTTGCTGAATATTGTCTAGTCAGTTGATATTCAGAAATTTCTTTAAATATGGATTTAATTTCATTGCTAGATCCCTTAAAAATATTATCTCATTATGAATAAATAATTTTGTACCATAAGCAATTTCCTCTTATGCAATCTTATATCAAAAATCTCAGATTTACAACCCAAAGAATTGTCAGGAGATACAAATTTCTATTCCATTCTATTCTATAAATTGTCAGGAAGTATAAATTTGTGAATAGTTCAAAAGCCACATCCATCCATCACAAAACTATAGATATCAAAAATTGAATTCAATAAAGCTAAATTTTGAAACTATTTGTAGATTATATAGATGGCACAACATGAAATAGAATACCTAATAGCCTGGAAAATAGAAATGAAATTAAAAACAGTAGGCTAGAAGAATCACTATAAGAAATAGAATGTAATTTTACAAGACACAGGTAAAGTATTATTAGGAGACAAAGATTAAATGCTACAAAGGTATTGTAGCAGAAATCTCCAGATCATGGGCTGTAAAAATTACATCCAATGTAATTTTTTCAAAATCCTAAAAACAAAATAAAAGAGAACATAATCTTTTTAGAATCCATTTTTAATAAATGCATATTTTTATCAGCACATGCTGTCACTCATCTTAGCATACATATTCTTGATTCATCTTCTATGTTTTTATTTTATTTATTTATTATCAGATTTATATACCGCCCTTCTCCCGAAGGACTCAGGGCGATGCCAAAGTAAAAACATAAATACAAACATTAAAATAGAGTTAAAAAGATATATATGCGTTTGGCCCCATAGTTAAAAAAACAATAACAAACCTATTAAAAACATTTTAAAAAGTGTTAAGCCAGCCCGGCTTGCTGAAAAAGAAAGGTCTTAAAGGCACGGCGGAAGGCACCGAGGTCTTTTTTTTTTTTTTTAAATTTGATTTATATGCTGCCCTTCTCCAAAGACTCAGGGCGGCTTACAATGTGCTCAGCAATCTTGGATTCTTCGTATCTCTGGGGGCAGCTGATTTCAGAGGGCAGGTGCCCCCACAGAAAAGGCCCTCCCCCTGGGGGCCACCAGTCTATATTGCTTGGCCGATGGCGCCCTGAGGAGACCCTCTCTGTGGGAGCGCACAGGTCGGTGGGAGGCCATTGGTAGCAGCAGGCGGTCTCGAAGATATCCAGGTCCTATGCCATAGAGCGCTTTAAAGGTGATAACCAACACCTTGAAGCGCACCTGGAAGACCACTGGAAGCCAGTGCAGCTCACGCAGGAGTGGTGTTATGTGGGAGTGCCATGCGGCTCCCGTAACTACCCACGCGGCTGCATTCTGGACCAGTTGGAGCCTCCGGGTGCTCTTCAAGGGGAGCCCCATGTAGAGAGCGTTGCCGTAGTCCAGTCGAGAGGTGACGAGGGCATGAGTGATTGTGCACAAGGAATCCCAATCTAGGAAGGGCCGCAACTGGTGGATCATATATCATTATATACATATAATTATGTTATATAAACATGATTTTTATACACTGATCAAGATAAATGTCAAAACAGCTCTTGGCGTCTTCTTTATAATGATTCTTTGTTTTTCTTATCATGCAGGTTTGGTTAAGCAGTGACAGCAACAGTGCAGAAGCTGCTGATCAATGGAGGGACACAATTGCAAATCCAGAGAAGGTGGTGGTTAAATGGCATAACATCATTCCAGCGTGATTCTGCTTTGAACAGTCCTTTTGGTACTGATTTGGACTTGAGCCCAGAGACTTTTGCACTTATTTAAAATGACCAGCCATCAGATAACAAAGAGACAGAAAAGAGATATCTATATGGATGCATACAATATCATCTCTGCACAAGAAAATCACAGAGGAAGCAATAGAGTTGAAAAAGCATAAGTTGGAAATCCTAGCAAAGTACATGAAAATTCAAAAGCCACATTGAAAAATTAGTGGCTTGATTATTAATTGACTGTTGATCCAAAAGGCTTATATGTAAAACATTTTAATATTTATATTTTAAAACATTAATTTTTAAATTAATTTAAAAACTTTGTATAGATTTTAGTGAAAAATACCATAGAAGGACTATCCTTCAAGAAGATTTTGCTCCATGTATTAGTTGACAACCATGTTCCAACTATTGTTTTGCTTCTAAAAGTATTCTGTGGACACTTTATTATTTCTACCAATATGTTGAACAAGTGAGTAAGGTAGGCAGGGAGGTAGAAATAATACTTTACCATTTAAATTGAAATAAACATTTTAAGGTAATTTTTAAGAATAATTGTTGTGTTGGATAGTAAATTTGAGACATGGGCAGGGAAGTAACAATTCTTTTATTAATGAGTTTGTTTTTACAGTTCTTCAACGTAGAATTTGCTTTACTGTTTTGAACAGAGAGATAGATTAATAAGAAGTATTCCAATGATGAAATTCAGTAGAATCTGATCTCATTCTTAGAACTAACAGGGACCCAGTATTCTGTATTTTAGGAAAACTGAATTCACCAGTCCTTATAAAATGAAAGAAACAAAACAAAATATGCAATCATGATTCTAATCAATTATTTTGAAAAATAAGCACCTTTCCACCCTTCAGTATTTTAAGATAACATAAAGTGATAAAGGCTAATAGAGCTTGTATGGCAAACAAGTCCATCGATAACTAAACTGGCACCACTTATATAGTTTTGTAGAGTCCCAGATGCCCAAATCTGAACCTTGTGAGACCAACAGCCATAATCAATCAGGAACCCTGACTATTTTAATAGAGATAAAGCATTTTTAAGGCACAAGGATCTGCATTTACTGCATACAATACAGTGTCTTGACAACTGAGATGTTTAGCAAAAAGTTTGGTAGTTGAAATAGGCATTGTGCAGCCATTGGGAAAAATGGATCAGTAACAACTGAAAAACTTTCATGGGGATTTGAAATGCAGCATGATTTAACTTGAATGCCTTCATTGCCTCTTTCATTAGATTATCAGTTCACACTGAGCTTTCAATAAATAGGATTCAGTTTGCCTCAAAGCTGTTGCCATATGAACCTGGAAGGGCACATTTAACATCAGCCCTCATGCTGATGTAATCTCAGGAGTATTTGTCAGATGATGCCCAAGAACGACATGGAATAATTCAGCCAGAGTTCAGTTCTTTATTTGCTTTCACATAGCAGACAGATTCTTGCCAAAGTAAACCCTTAGTAGTCTCAGCCTTATGGATGCACCCTGAGAGATTCTAAGGAGTGGCTATCCTTACTTTCTTCCTCTGTCTTCTCTCCAGCACTGAGATGTGCTGCCTCTGGTCTTCCTTCTCTTTCTGGAATATGCTCCCTCCTTCATGGGAGACTGCCACGTCATTGTCGTCCATCACACCAACTCCCCCTCCGTGGGAACCATCTCCCACAATACCATTCCTATGACTTATAACATCGAAAGCATATATGCAATGGATGCATATATGCAATGATCAGAAATGAAACCATACAGAATTCCAGCAAATGAATATTTTTATAGATCATTAAACTTCAGAAATTCTATTCTCTGCAGCCTCTGCTGAAAACATTAGGAATTGCTACAGGCAGTGTTACACTATTTTAAAATGTACTGGTTTCAAAAATGACAAGGCTGGTGTCTGAATTTTGTTTCTGTCAGACTTGGCTGGTGTTGGTAATTCATGAAACCTTAGAATGCCCTAAGTGCATAATGAATTATGAGTCAGAAATTATAGCTTTAGAGCGATTAGCTGGAAGAATCCAGATTTTTATGAGGAAGGAGGAGGAAAAAAAGGCATGTGTAGAAAAGGTGGCATTAACTGCAGAATGACAGTATAGAAAACCAAAGTTCAGGAGAGATGAAGAATGTGAAAAAATGATCAAACTAAAAGCCACACTAAGAAAATCAAATGAAAAGAATAACAAGAACATAAAACTGGAGAAGACATAGAACCACACTTACTCCAAAACAATGAAATCTGGAACAATTCAGAAAACAAATGTCTCTTTATATCCTCAAAAGATTATAATTAGGTAGCAAAAATTTTGCTATGCAAGCAGTCCTTGCTTAACCAGTCACTGAGCAACCGTTTGAAGTTACAACAGACCCCCCCCCCCCGGGGGGGAAATGTACTTACTTTCCCTACCGGTTCGGAAGTGTAGATTTTGAACCCTCTGCCCATGTGCAAAGCCACCTGTGCATGCACAGAGGGTCAAAAACAGGTTACTTCCAGGAAGTAACGATGTCCAGGCAGGTGGGCGGAGCTTCGCGCTGCCACCGCTATTGGTTCACCGAACCATGTGCCGCTGCCGCTACCGGTTCACTCGAACCGGTGCGAACCAGTAGCATTTCACCCCTGCCCCCCCAAAAAAGATACTTATGACCCAATTTCACTCCTATATAGTCATGTGATCTCATTTTGGACACTTGGCAACCGGCTTGCATTTACAGCCATTTGCAATGTCCAAAGGTCATGTGATTGTAATTTTTGCTATTTTCGAGTATTTGTTTCTGGCCAAAAATATCTATTGGATGAACAAGTTCATTTAATGACCATCAATTCACTTAATGATCACCATGTTTGCTTAATTATTGCTGAAAAAAATCAGGCATGGTCACATGGTGACCCACTTAACCGCAATGGTTTATGATTTTACGACCTTTTTTGTGGCAGCCGTTAAGCAGACATGACGGTAATTCTGGGCTCAATTATAGTCATACATTGAGGACTACATACTTAGTTGGATTTAAATCTGGGGGAGCAAATGAAATAGTGGTAAGGTATAGCAGCTAGTCTTTCTGAAGAGCATTGGTCTCAGCAAATAAAAAGCAAATAAAAAATTGTGGCTTGCAATGCATTCAATATAGTCACTACGTTGAAAAAAATGGATTGTTTAGAAGTTGCATTAGAAATTTAAATCCAAATTTAAATATCCTGCAGTTCTTTGGTTAAGACTTTTATTAACAACGTACTTTATGTGCATCCAGTTCATGGTAAAGGTGATGTTAGCCTGTCACTGTAAAAATTATTTCTCTACTGTATGTGGTAAAAAGAATAATAGTGTCTTTTTAAAGCAAAATAATCACTGAAATTAGAACAATGAAATTATGAGCAAAGCTGCTTTAACAGTCTTGGTACAGTATTTTATTTCCTCTCTTCTTTTTCATAAACATCGTACATGTTGTCTAGTAGGATAAATGGAGATCTTATGAGGGCTTCATGCAATAACAACATTCCTAGGGAGCTCACATTCAAATATCAGAATATATAGAATTTCTGCTGAATTTATAGTACTGTAATACACTAATGACCAGATGTTTTATTATATATGTATATATTAATGCATTTTTATGAATATATACGGTACGTGTACGTGTGTTTTGATGCCCCCCGGAGTCACCCTGTGTTAGTTGGGCAGCCATATAAATCTGCTTAATAAATAAATGCAATAAATATAATAATTGAAGCATTTGTATACATAGATTCTAGCCTGACTTTGCCTTCTACCTGTGGTCTGATCTGTTTAGCAAAAGTCTCTAGTCAAAAATATTTAGCTTGCTTTTCAAATGATAAAAATATGCCTGAGGAGTTTCACATGTGCCCATACCCGTGCACATACAAATGAACACACACACAAAGATGATTTTATTGAACAAAACTCAAGCAAAGAGGAAAAAATCTCTTTCTCGGAGCTTCCTGATGATGGTGTGAAGCTGAGTATCCCAGAATTTCACATTATGCAACATGCCAGGCCTCATGCCAGGACTTTGTTTAAGAAGGGTGTGAAATGAATTGACCAGCAAGCTAGTGATGCCAAATGTTAACAATGACGTCACTGTTAATCTACCTCATGAATAATCCCGGATCCTGGCACAGCTGTACAGTACACTTCAAGTCTTATTATTAACCTACACGCTGTTTTTATTGACAACTAACTACATTGCCGGAGCATATTTTCGGTTAATTATTAGAAAACTAACAGAGTATACTTTCTTGTATGAAGAGTTAGAGCAATTCTGTAGGCACCTGCAATTCTTTGAGAATAGTCTGCTTTCTACGGCCTAGTTTTGTAGAACTGCTACATGTGGTTTCAAAGTAGCACCTGGCCTTAGAAATGGTCTGTCTTCTGCAGTATGCTGGACCAAGAGAACTGATACATTTTGGACCTCTTTCTAAACTCTTCCTTTTATGTTGGCCTTTCCATATTACTTGTTTTTATTTCAGTTTTTAAAATGATAAAATGCTTTAAAATAAAAAGCTGATTAATTCAGTATTTAGTGTTGCTAAAATTAGGACCATTCTGAAAATTAAGAAGTTGAGAATTATTCCAGAAGTTTTACATTCTAAATTGTCATTTGCTGACTGGTCACTCGTTACTTTATTATGAAGACTTGTGTTTATACATGAACTTCCCAGTTACTGTTGCAAGATGTCACCTGAATCATCTCTTCAGATCCCAATTTAGCTATGAGCAAATATGAACAATTTTATCTGCAAACAGTCTCACAAATATGTGGCAGCAGTCAGTAGGAAGATCGCCTTTTTTATTTTTACCCCCCAAATAAGAATAAACTTAAGGGTACTTTACAGGAGGTAAGGTAAAAGTATAGAAGTAATAATATTAAAGATATAGTATATTAATTTCTTTGATCGCATTTATTCTTTTATGGTACCCCTGCTCTATTGTTTCTTCAACTATTTCATTCCCTGGAGCTCCTTGGTTTTCCAAGGAGATCTGCAAATTAGGGTAGGCCATCTTGAGGGAGAAATTTCACCCAATGCTCTCCAGAGAAGAATTCCAAAGCAGATTTAGAGATGTGGTAAATCTGCCTTTCTGATATCTGGGGAAACCCTCAAGGACATTAAAAAAGCCAACATCTCTCAGGTGCTTGGAGTGGATAACAGTAATCCATCCAGTTTTACTCCTGGAGGTTGAGTGCAAAATCAATAAGCATAAATAAGGCCTGTCTTATGTGATCTTAAGCCCAACCAAAATGTAATTTCAAGGCATGGAGATTGAAGTTGTCAACACTAGAAGTTTGGAAGATTCCAATATCAGGCCAGATATGAGTTCCAAAAGCTGATGCAAGGCTGCTGCCAGCCAGCAATAATTCACTTGATTTTCAACCCAAACGGCACATGGAAATAACTCACACTTGGTGGGGCAGTGCTTCTAATTACAAGGAAGGAAGGAAAGGAAGGAAGGAAGGAAGGAAGGAAGGAAGGAAGGAAGGAAGGAAGGAAACGAAACATTATCATGCTCCAATTCCAAACATGGAGTTGTGCTCCAGATCTAAACTACAAAATATGCAGGAAAGCATATTTTGAACAGGGTAATATGCACATTCCCATTCCACCAAGTATTTGTTATGCAGGTCAACTGACCATTCACACACATACATAGATATCCATTTGGTGGTAGCAGCAATGTCTCAAGCTGTCAAGCAGGAGATGCCATGGCTGTTTTGGTAGTAACTACCTTACCTACAGTGTACAGCCTTGCAACAGTACTCAGGACGTCATGACTATGTGCTAATCACCTCTTTATAGGGCTGCCTATGAAAACTTCTATATTTTGTATCTATAATTGCTACAAAATACAACTGTTGACAGATGCTGATTGTCTTGAGGATGTTACTCCTGTGCTCAAGGCTTGCTCTAGTTGCTGATAGGCTTCCTAGGGCCATTCAAAGGCCTGGCTTGAACTTATAAAGCCATCTACAGTTTGGCATTGAGACATTTCAAGGAGCATCTTCTTTGACTAGACTTTATCTATTTGACATGGTCGTAATGGGAAAAGAATTTGGAAGTTCTACGTTTTCATTAATCTAAAGTTAGAAAGCAATGGTTTTATGGCACTTATAGAATACAACTCTGTTTGGGTATTATGTTAGTCTCCATGGCGATGAAATTTCACAAGGCAATGGAAGCCAAATTTTTATGGAGGGCCTTAGTGGAATATTATCTTGCATATAATCATGAGATTGTCCTCTGTGGATTTCTACTGTATTGTTCTCTGTTCTCTAATTTAATTTAATGTAATTTATATTGTTGATGTAAGTATTGCACGAGAATATTTATGTAATGTTTACTGATTGAAATTGTGATAGATGTTTCAGTGTTATTTTTGATATTTTTATTATAGATCTTTTATTATTTCATTTTCATGTTGTACTGTGGGTATTTTATTTGTTCCGTAAACTACCATGAATCCAACTGAATTTGGCAGCATACAAATTCAATAAATAAAGCAATAAATAAATGTATTGAAGTGTGATTTGTGGAGGAATATTTTCAAGTCTGATTTGGATTTATATATTCATAATTTATATGCAGAAGTATAAAAGTATATTTCAATTACAGCAGAAAATATATGCGTATTTATCCAAAATATAGCCATGGCAAAAATGGAGAGGTGAAAGAAATGTCTAAATGACACAGTAATTTATTTGATGGGAAAATCTTGGACACAATTGTATGGCACTCTCTACAAGCACTCATGATGTTACCCAGGCTGGAAATTAAACATCTGCAAGCAAACAGACAAGCTCAGATATCACTAAAAACCCAACAGTTTCAACCTGAGCTACATATACTCTCTTCTATTGGAAGGAACAAGCATGCTGATTTATCTATCCATCTCACATGAGAGAGACTCTGGGCAATGAACACTTGATAACTGATAATTTTCTAAAATGTCTGGTGCACAATAGCATCCAGACCAAGTCTTCCATGCTTTGACTAATCTTCTGAGAGCTCATGTGTTGGATAATTCCAGGAACTCCAGGGATTTAGGTTTGATGTCATGAATTACAGTAGATGTCTTTTCTTGCCATCTGCTAATGGAAGGAGGAAAATTAGCTAATCAGCCCTCAAACTTCAAAACTTGAGGTTTTGAAATTTCACACCTTCCACACCCTAAATCCAAACAGTGGATGTAACTTAACACTCCACAACCAAAGTGATGTAATGGTTATTAAGATAATTTACAGCTGGATGCCTTAACAGTAGATCAAAAAAACCAAAGAAAAATAGATAGCAAACAGTGTTCTCTTATAGAGAGCTTCATAGAATTGGAGCTCTATGGGTCAGGCAAACCCGAATGAAGTTTATGAACGTCAAGTCCAGCCAGTAGATTCTGCAATCTCCTAACTGATTTGCTTCTGGCTGCCATAAGATCAATTAGACAAATGTTTTTTTTCAAACTTGGCAAAGTTAAATAAGATGGGTGGATCAATTCTCAGTATTCTGGGAATTGAAGTCCACACATCTGAAACTTTCCAAGCCTGAAAAACACTGAATTAGACTGCACAAGTGGAACAAAATCCTCTACTCTCTTCCTCAGTTGCCACAAGCCCACAGAAAATACTTTATGTTAATTCAGTTTTATGGATCTTTGCCCCAGTGAGAAAGCATTGAGATATAAAGTTAAGATAACTGCAGCTTTATTCATTTACTTCACTAAGCATCAGTTAAATAGCAATAGCACTTAGACTTATATACCACTTCATGGTGCTTTTACAGCATTGGTGGGTTGCTCCCACTTTGCACCAGTTCTATAGAACCGGTAGTAAAACCGGCAGGAGGCTCCACCCATCGACCCCGACATCATCAAAACGCTTCACATGCGCAGAAGAGTGTGCGCACGGCCCTGCTGCAAACCAGTAGTAAAGGTAAGCAGAACTCACCCCTGTTTTACAGCCCTCTCTAAGTGGTTTAGAGTCAGCATATTGCCCCCAATGATCTGGGTCCTCATTTTACTGAGCTCGGAAGGATGGAAGGCTGAGTCAACCTTGAACTGGTGAGATTTGAACTGCCGAACTGCAGCTAGCAGTCAGCTGAAGTAGCCTGCAGTGCTGCACTCTAACCACTGTGCCACCTCAGCTCTAAAGGTGATACAAAAGGATTTTATGTCAAAAAATATTTTTTTTATTTTATTTTTTATTTTTTATTTTTTATTTATTTAAGGGGAGGAGGTTACTAAGAAGAAATGTTGCTGTTTTAGCCATGTTCTGGCTAAACCAAACCCAGTTTGGACATAGCATAAAAATGAATATATGTTTCTATGCCAGCAGAGACTCTGCCAATTGAAAAATGAACTTGTAAACAAATATAAACTTGGCTTTTAGTGGAAGTTGATTACATAGAGGAAATGTTTTTTAAATGTTCACACTTAGAGTTGTATTTGCTGATTTGATATCCATTTTTCTGGTTAAGTGAAATCCTTTTATCGTTTTTCATTGAATGATAAAATAAAGCGATAATGAAGAATTGCTACATGACTAACTGGGTGGAGTCACTTTAGTCCCATGCAATGACATTAATTTTTCATTGTTTTAGCCAAAACAGACCTTTGTTTGTTGGGAACTAAAGCAAAATTCACCTGGTAACCCCACCAGGGTCACTTGATACAGTCAGCTGGCCAAGTTAAAGTACCGTAATTGCACAACACATTTCTCTCTCCCT